GAAAGGTGCCCCTTCCCTTACGGTGTACAAGGCGGTGGCGGTCGATACAGAAAAGGTTGTCGATACGAAAAAGGCGACACATGGAAAATGCGAGAGGTGTCCTTTCCCCTCTCGGATGTAAAAGACGGTCGATACGTAAACGGCGATCTATAATGCGAGAGGTGCTGCCTCTTGGGTGTAGGTATAAGATGGTCGATACAGAAACGTCGACGTTCTTCTTCTTTAAGGCGTTCAATTAGACTGTGTACGCTAGTTTTACAAAAGCGCATCCACATGGAAGTGTCTCTTATTTTCTGTATAAGTCTAAGTACCTAAACCTAACATTCTATTGTGTATTATACCTATTATACTACTTTTATATTATGAACTGCGATAATATACAGGGTGTTACACGACCGTTCGAAAAAAAAAAATCGGGTTGTAGAGGGCATCAAAACAAGCACTTTTTCCAAATAAACCGAGGGTCCAACGTGTTTCGTTTGGGAGCCACCCCCCAAAGAGTGTTGAAATCTGCATTTCTTCTTTAATTTTTTTCTCAGCAACCATAAGAGTTACAAAGTCGGGTGGCATGTCTTTGAATAGGTTTTTGGGTATGCTCTTTCCGATTTTGCAATTTTTTTTTCAAAATTCCTACCCCTAAAGGGCGCACCCCTAAACTAGGGTGCAAAAAAAAATTCTGATTTCGACGAAATTTGGTATCTGGGGGTTTTTTAACATGAAAATCACGAATCTGAAATTAGTTTTTGAAAATTCGAAAAAAAAAGTTCCACTGCAATTCTTGGCGGGACAACGAAAATAGAGATAATTCCACGAAATTTGTTGTGTACATACTAAACGAGTTAAGGAACAAAACTGTCGAACAGTTTTTTAAAATAACTTTTCAAACAAAAGTTATACTCATTTGAATGTTGGTCCTTCGGGTCGCGAAGTGTCCCAAGCCTACTAGTAAGCCATAATTTCGCATGTGTTGGTTGACAATGTCGCAAAAACAAAAGATTAACGGTTTGAGTCGATATTTTGTTATTTGGAATTAATTCGGTCATTAAATAATTAAATAAAATTTTAAATGTTTCAAACGCCAAATTGTGCTCGTATAAATCGGCCCATTTCCTTAATAATCGATATATTTAAAATGTAGTTCCTTAAGGAATGCGTCCATAGGACATTAACGACAATAATCGTGTTGATACCATATTAATGTATTAATTAAATAGGTAGACAAATTCCAATTAGTTTCCCCAATTACAATTTGGCGTTTGAAACATTAAAATTTTATTGAGAACCGCTGACTTAGTTAAATGGGGACTATTGTCCTATTGTTTTAAATGTCGCAGTGGGAATTCCCGCTACTTAACGACCTAATGAGAAATGTTAAATTATTGGTGAAACGAACTAACTAAATCCGCCATATTGGACGCCATTTTGAATATCTCCCTTTCGATTCATTTTTAGATTTGGCAACAGGCCGAATCGGATTCAGCGTGGTCGAAATAGGGGCAAACCACTTCCAACTCAATTCTTACATGAAATGCTTCTTGCATGAGCAAGCAGAGCTTTTACTGGAAAGTGGATTTGACTACTAACCAATTTTATGATTATGATGGTAGCTCGGGGACCGTATCAAGCCATGTACCCTTAAATTTTTCCTTAGACTTTTTTATTGATATTTTATGGTATACACTTCTGTAAGCCATTCTCCGTGTAGGGGCGGATACACATACGACACTGCGTGCCGTAAGAGGCGACTAAACAACAGCTCAACCTGGCCGCGACCCGGGCCCTACGGCCCTGGAATTTTAATATTTTCTTAATTATTTATTTCATTTTATTTATTTACTTTTTAGTAGGCTGGGATTCACTCATGGGCTGATTTACAGACCCAACCCACTATACACTTACTAACATCAATGCCCGAATCCGGATTCGAACCAGGGCAGTCGGGCTTCCACGCCACTGCGCCACTGAGGCCGGCATAATATTAACATATTTTTCCTATCAATTATTGATAAGTAGTTTTTTTGTACTGATACCGGCACGTAAAGAAGGCGTAGGATGACACATTCCCACTATTCATATTCTACTAATTACACCTATTAGTGCGCCACGTGGTCAGTTGATTGATTGGTTAAACAAATAGAGATGGGCGAAGAAATGGATTAGCATCCATTTTGAAGGCGTATTTGTAAAATTTAAAAAGGGGAGTGGTAGAAGGAAGGCATTAACGTGGAACTACTTGTAACGAAAGGCTGGGTAGGACTAAAATTGTGCTTTAAACAATATCATGGGTAGAATTTGTTATTGTTTAACCAACCTTGATAGCGAGGGATGTGACCCTTACAAAATCACCCAGTCTAGCTAATTACATCATCTCCCACGACTTCTCGGCATCAGTCAGGACCGTACGCATGAACCACTCGCCCACATACACATGAAAAAAAATTAAGCACAATTCGAATCGAATAAAATCCGTTAAGGGGCTCCCGTTACACCGTGAAGCCTACTGCAAGTCGATGAGAACCCACATCATTGTTTTCACACTGTAGCAAGCAATTTTATTATTAAGCATGGATGTGTGCTCATCAGACGCGTTTGCGTTGGGGGGGGGGGGGGACATGTTCTACCCTTCATGGTATTCTAATGAAAGGTCTCATCGAAATAAATTGGTTTGTACAAACTATAACTTTCCCGTGCCACTCGATTAGTGAGCGACGGGGCCTGAGGGGGGGGGGGTAAAAATTAATTTTATTAAGAGGGTACTCACAAAGGGCGATTGAGACGTCTGCAAGAAATATATCCATTGGTGATTTCAAAATAAAAGCTATTTCAGTTAAAAAAAATGCACTTTATCTGCACAAGAGTTGTGTACAATTTATACTTGTTTTCCTCGTTTGGGTGATTTTGAGATTGATATCACCCCGTGCATTCCAGATCTCAGCATGGCTGTTCGCGTTGGAGTGCTTATTACTATAGTTAAGTACCATTCGTGTACGGTAAATTCGCCCCGGAAAGCTCAGCCCCGGAACATTCGCTCTCGGAATATTCGCCACCGTACAATTCGTCCTCAAAAGAGTCGGGCGAGGTAAATTTGGCTCCAGGAAATCTCGCTTCCGCGGTATTTGCTCATATAGTGTGTCCGTCTCAACTTGACTTTACCGCACAGGCTCTTATGGTCAGCAATGATGCCAAATGTCATCAAATATGATTTCAAGAATATGGCCGTAATTGCAGTTGGCATCGCCACACTAAAAATTCGTATAAGGATTGCATTGCTCAATGTTGCCTGTACTGTAAAGTGACTATAGAAGATTCGCTCTCGGAAAATTGGCCGGCAGTATCTCCGCTTCGTCACTGCAGTCAATGCTACAGTTGTTCTCGTAAGGGAAGTGTTGCAGCATTTTATTAACCCATACCCTTTGCCAAAAATAGAGGTGAAAGTCAATTTTTACTAGCGCATTTTTTTACTAATTACCAAAATTTTCAGAGCGCCTTAAAAACTGTTTGATGTGTTCAAATGAATGTTTTAAGGGTAAATCCTCCGGGGGGCAAATTTACCGGGGGCGAATTTTCTGGAGCTGTTTCCGAGACGAATAAAATTCGAAAAAAGAAACATAAACGCATTAACTAAGTAATTATATAATATCGATAGTAGATAATAAACTTGATAGGCCTTACTTGTTGGTATATCGATATATCAGCACTAGCCTGGAAATAACAATTGTCGATTAGGTATTGATAATTACGTCTATATCGACTAGAACTATAGATATTGAATAACCATCGATAATTCGACCATTTATTGCAGCACGAGTTTACTAGTGAATCAAAATCATTGTATTGATTCTTTTTAGGGGAATTTTTCGAAAGACATTCCTCTTGTGTGATGGTTTTGTCGGTCCGTCCGTCTGTCCGCCTGTTCTTCGTCTAACTCGAGAACGAAAAGAGACCGCGATTTCAAATCTTCGCCAATCGATTTCAAGGAGTTCAAGGATCAGTGCTATTGAATATAAGCCGGATTAAAAGTCGTGTTTCCGAATGTGAGCCCTACTGAAAACCGTATGCGGTTCTTCGTATCTTGTTTATTATACTGTGAGCTATTGCCACTGGTTAAGAGTTCACCAACCAGACGCTTTAATCCAAATATTTGCTAAGATACTGACAATAAATAAGAACATTTTTCGTATGCTGTCCAAGTTGTACCTATGTGTAGGTAGTTTATGCAAATGGTTCCACAAAATACCAATAAATAGACATATACCTATAGTCACTCCCTTGACCTCAATAATGCAGATCTCGAAGGCTGAAAATAGACGTCGGGAGTAGTATAAATGTTGTAATTTGTATCGAGAAAAAAGGTTTTTATGTATATGAAAAGGTAATAAACGCATGTAATTTACCCTACCTACTCTACAGGCGCCCTTTATATGACACCAGTTACACGAATGTAGCTTTCATTTGAGTATAATCGGATTACGTTTATTGACATGTCGACGCCGTTTATATTGAAAGCGTCATTCATATTTGCGCAAAAATCATTCCGAGAGGTTTGAATTTTAATGGTGGGTTTTCTTATTAAGGTCGTACCAAATATTTTAATACGATCCATGTGGGGGTTCTATATATTATTTATAATAGCGAACGATTAATTAATTGTGAGTTGAAGCCTCCCGCAAAAGTCAATCTTCTGTTTAAGTTGCTTAATGGATTGTCAGAGGTGGGGTAAATGAGGGTGGAAGGAAGACACCAAGCACCGTACCCTCGATTAATGCGTTAGTCTTTTTAATCAAATGTAACTCAATACTGAAGTGTTTGTGTTTAACGCTGGCAAAACAAGCTTTCAGTATGATTAAATGTAAACACCTCGTGGCGTTTGTGTTTTCCCAAATTGAATTTGAATTATTTATAAGAATAACTGTAAGCATCTCACTATGAATATTTAACTTGTTCAATACTCTCTGGCATAATAAATACAGGCACACTTCTATGACACCAAAGACACTCACCCTTTCCCGCTTAGGACTCCAGAACGTCGTAATCTCCATCTTCTCATCCGTCGATTCTATGTCAACTTCATCGTCACTATGGTCCTCTTTTTCGGGTGGCTTTTCGATAACAGGTTGAACAGGTTTAAAAGCAGATTGGTACGATTTATCAACTGGGAAAAATGGATTTTCATAAGGGAATAAGACAGGATTGCGTTTTAGCCACGGAAAGGTTGAGTAAGGTGCAAATGGGAACGGTTTATTGTAAATTAAATCCATTGAAACCCTCGAAATAGGCAGCGAAATTCCCTGGCAACCAGTAATTCTAGGCGCGGGCACTACGGGTTGTGGTGTTGGTGGATCGACATCCACTTTAGTTTGTTTGGGATTTCTAGAAACTATTGAACTTGATAGAAGCCTCTTCCTGGTGCCCCCGTTGAACATTGCTTTCACATCTTCCCAAGCATGCATAATTTCCTCGGGAACGTTTCCACTGAGCTTCATGTGGCGTCGCCACGAGTTGAAATTCGCCGCGTCCGGTTGGACATATTTGTCATTGGGACTTAAGCGATGGGAATGAAATATAAATTTGTTAGGGGAGAAAAATAACCCGCACACGTTGCACTTAATACATTTAGCGCGCGAAGAATTATAACGTGAAGGTAAGAACGAACCACGACATCCCCATGCACATTCGTGATGCACCGCGAATGCAAAATCGTCTGGTAAGCGCGGCGGACTGTTGTCCCCAAGGAAACTTTTGCATAAACGCTCCGCTTCTCTACGTGTTATCATTCCGCACCTCCGCGAAGATACAGGCATTGCACCAGCCCGACGAAGTATTTCTAGCTGCACTGGAGTGCACTGCACACACGTTATGCCTGAAACCAAAAAAACTGTCATAACAGTTTTCTTGAATCCTGCCGTTTCCACTTACCCAGTGCTACACGTCTGTTGTGTATTTCGTTATAACTGTATTGCTTCAATAGGGTGTTTGATATTTGGGCCAAACACAGACGTTCCTGGGTTTCAATGACTAGGGAAACGATGGGTATTCCATATAGAATCACTGTGCTCACCTGTGAAGAAAACGGAATTTATTGAACAGTTTTATATGTAACAATAATATAGTCAGAGGATTTGATTGAAGAAGGGGTGGGGGCCGAAACTTCTCGTATACCGAATTTGAATGGGACCCTTCATCACCTCCACTTATTTAGAGGCAAGTAGTTTGAGGATTCTACCCCTAGGAATAGTATTTCTGACCCCATGTGTTCTTAAAAGTTTGGCAAGCCTATATCCGTTAGTGATATTGTTCACACTTGTACTCAATAATTTTTTGTAATAATGAAAACTGTAGGAGTACCTAGTTAAGGTCTCGGACGGACAGACGCACAGCATAAAAATGGATACGGACAGAGAAACTGAAATAGCGCACTCAACTTCATTGGAAAATGCGTTCAAAAGAGGTTTACTAAGTTGATTACAATTCGTAATTCTGAGTTTCAACTCGAAGATCAGAGTCATAATTCTGAAATTGTAACTCGGAATAGTAAACGAAAATATTTCTTCTAGCGCTTCCATTTTTTCGTGCATTCCTTGTGGTCACACAGAGCAATAGAGGTAATTACTCAACCCTAATCTTTCCGGCAGTAGACAGTCTATGCGTATCTATCGACGAACCACCCATCAGTTCATTAGTAACGATTGAAGAAAGCGACTGATCAAGGGTTACTGGTAAAAATTGTTGTTTTAATTAAAACCCTAACACTAGCAACAGAGAAACCAAGTGGTGTTTATCTATGTATTTATACTGCAGTTTTCCACTGTAACCTTAAACTAATCTATGAATAAAGTAACCTCGTGCGTCGAAATTTGCACTGAGTGCGTAATTGTTGCATCACATTTGCCAATGGAACACAGAAAATTGCCCTAAAATTATCAATAGAACGTAAAAATTGCACTCGTGCAGCTCGAGTTTTGCCAATCGAAAACGCTATAAGACTTTCGGGATAGGACCGTGTCAATGTTGAACGAAGTCACAAATTAAAATAAAATACAGGGTGGTTTAAATTCGTAGCGCACCTTTGGGATCTCCGTAACGGTGAGAGATACAGTGTAGGTTATATAGGGGCAAAGTTTCCCCTTTTTGTGATTAAAAAAAAATGGTTGAAAAATCTTTGAAAATGACTGAGATATCACTGAAAAACTGAAATTTTGATAATGAATTCAGATTCTCCGGAAAAAATCCCCATAGAAAAAGCTAACGGGAACCCCCCATTTACTTCCGTTTAAGCTAGGAAAACAAATTTGACATTTTCAGTTTTTGGGTGATGTCTCAGTTCTTTTCAATGATTTTTCAAACATTTCAAAAGCGTTCTTCTATCTCTATCTTTCACCGTTGCGAAGATCCCAATGTTAACGGGAGCACCACGCACATCTCCACTAAAATGCACATGTTGGAACACTGAAAAAGAGATTGCTAAACCAGGATATTTAAACCTATTCCGTCAGGAGAAATTGGAGAAAGTGGTCACATCAGCCAATGGAGTAACAGAGCTTATTGGTAAGAGTTTTATATGTTTTATTTTTTTTATTGTTATTTTTGTTTCGTGTGCTTACGAAAGTGGGCGAAACGTTGAACGTTTTCTTGCAATAAATGTTGCTAAATCTTGTACAATTCCGATTGTAGTACACAAGAAAGACACAAGAATGATCCAATGATTCTTTTTCTCTGGACGATTTTCGGTTTTATTCACACTTCGGTATTTTAAATGGGATGCCCCCATTTTTATTTATTTTTCTAAATATACTCGACTTCCGAAATTAAAAAAAAATACCCTTGCACAAAATAACCTTTTGAAATGTACCTAAATGAGATTTTTATTTGACTCCAATTTTATCGGTTTTTTTAGAATTGGGTTACGCAAAATGTCGAGAGTACCGAATGCGTATATTTTCCAACAGAAAAAACTCAAATAATTCAAAAACTCTTTCAGTGTAGCGCTATATAACTCCTCTATAACCTACAAAATTGAAAATATTTTAGCTGAAACGAGCTCAATGCCTAACTGATACAGGGTGTGGAGTATGGAATATCGAATATATCTTTTTAAATACCCATTTCATCAAAAAATGTTGTTTTGTATTTAATTTTTTCTCACATGGAACTTAAGCGCAATAGACAAAAAAGTTTAGTTTTTAAATGGCAATATGTATCGTTTGCCAACTTTTTTGATGGAGTACTTTATTCCTTTTTCAAACATGTAAGATATTAATACCCTTCATATTGGAAAAATTGTTGAGAAAATCGCGAAAAACTGCGATATTTCACATTTTTGAAAGGGGACTAAGCCCCTCTATCAAATAAGTTGGTAAAAGATATATCTTGTCATTAAACAATTTTATTATCTGTTGCCCTTTGAAAAAAATAAAGAAAATCATGTGGTGAAATTCAATCCCAAATAACTTTTATTTGTGAAACATTTTATGATAAAATGGATATTAAAGATATAGACGATATTTTATACTTTTCGGACACCCTGTATGTAAAAATTTTTGAAATTTGTTCACATTACTTTCCCAAAAAATAATCGACTCAGTTCGTAGTTGGTGTACTTGTTCTTTTGGGAACTTCTTCGTCAGAGAAAGTTAAAGAAATGTGGGTATCATTCTGCTGTTTCATTTTACTGCAATATAATGTTCCAATGAAATTAGAGTTTTCGTATAGGCCATGGATGAAGAAGATTTGATCGTTTTCCTAATCAAATAAGTAGTGGCGGAGTAGTTACCTGGGGCGGCCCAGCAAAATTGCACCTGTTCTCCCATTCGTCTCCAAATTAACAGCTTGGTAGGCACAATTAAAACAGATATGTACAGGGTGTTCCAAATTGTTTGTTTTCGGTGTTTTTCGGCGATAGTTTGTGAACTAAAATATATAGGGGGATGCGGTTTGCACTTCTCGTAGTTACTTTCCAAAGCTGCATAGGTCGACGATGTCAATTTTGACGTATGACTTGCGCGAACGTGGCAACAGCGCAAAAGTCCAAAAATGCAATAAAAAGTTTTTGCCTTATAACTCAGTTATTTGTGGGAATATCAAAAATGTCTCTGTATTATTATATTTTCCATAGCCTGCTTAGTTTTAAAGATACAGAACCAAAGTTGATTGAAAATATCCCCCAAAAGCCCCCCAAGCAATTTGGAACACCATGTATACATGACTCTACATCAACATAATTGATTTCTAGAGGGGTTTCTTTTTCTATGGATAACATTGCGAGAAGGGTCCCCAGTCGTGGCGGACCGCTCCGGCGCCCCTGCCTCTTTACGCCGCCAGTGATTGGAAGTATTAGTGACTTTGACGTATAATAGCTCTGGAATGTGAGTGTTTTCCACGTATCGGTGATGAGTGAATTGTAAAACCCCTGGCAGACATCCGAATATATTCCTAGACCTCATTTCTAACAGAAACAGTTATATAGGGAACGATCTCGAAATGCAGATGTGTTCGCAGGGAGAGCGCCAGATCGAGGCGGGAGGCTCACCGGTGAGTTACCTAATTAATTGGGGATAATCGCGGTTAAAACGTCGTGAACTTTTCCTTAATTTAACGTAGCGTCGCTTAAAGTAACAGAGATGGTATGGCGTGAAAAAAGGACACCCTGTATAAACTTGTTATCATAAAAAGGGCCAATATGAAACTTTCGTTCTAAATGAAAATGTTCACATCATTTTGAGTGTGCTTTTTGGCACGTTGAAGATATTAAACAAAATGTTTTCACCCTAGGGCGAGTAACATTAGAACGCATTTTCCAAATTTTTCAAATTCTTTACTCGAATCTATATGGTTAAAATTTCAAAGAAATGGCTCCATAAATAAGAAAGTTGGCATTGCACAATCTGCGCATGCGCACATCTGATTTTATAATAGGCGATATGTTTACTGTTTTTAGTAGAAGCACCTGTGGTTGTAATTTCAAAAAAATATATCTCTATACCTGAAGTAGTTGATATTGTGCAGTTTTTCACATGCCATATTTGATTATTAACGGGCGACAAAAAGGGAGTTTTTACTATATGATATGCAATATGTTTTTCTCTACTAGAAGCATAGTGTAAGAACAGAACTTACACTATGCTAGAAGTATATATGGTTATAATTTGAAAAAAATGCGCTAAAAATAAAAGCGGATTTTCATTGATCTCATAAAAGGTACATTTGGATAAAACATTCCCGATTTATTTCACAAAATGTGTATGTTATGCGATTTATTCAATTTGCAGTAAACCGTATTTGATAAAAATGCAAATTTTTTGATAAGAAATTCAAATAGCGCACAAATAACATCATTGTTTTTTACTAATGGTATTAGTTCCTGAGCGAGTTCATGATTTTGGATTTTCTGTCCGTCCGTCCGTCCGTCCGTCTGTCTACATGATAACTCGCGAACGGTTTTGAATTTTCCAATTATGTTTTTAGTAATAGGTAGGTCAAGGGACTAATTGATTAATGTTGGTCACTTAGACTTTCTGTCCGTCCGTCCGTGCTTGTCGCTCATTGTTTGGTTTGAAAGAGTTTGTTACCAAGTGGGTTCATTACATAACTTTGTTAAATAATGTACCTACATGGTACAATGAGAACACGAAATGTTAGAAATTTTCCAATAAAGCGACGCAAGTGGTAAGTTTCAATTTAAAATTGTTGGGCTGTTATGGTGGGGGCCTGGTTGTTGGAGAAGTATGTTTGTACGTTCAATTTGATTCCTCCCCCATACTACAGAAACGGTTTTGAATCTCAGTCCAGCAAACTTTCGCAATGAACAATGTTTGATGTGATTTTGATAATCGAACTGAATTATTAATTTTGCTTGGTATTGCGATATTTAAGTCAAAAAGAATATTTTCATCAATGGCCACTTACTAATATGAAGGCAGACTTTAGGTATCATCGTCATAGGTGTAATTCGGGTTTCATTTCAGTTTCGTTACTTTACGATAAAAAAATGGTATCTGAAGAGAATGCTTAAAAATCTCAGAGTAACCAGTGCATTCAAAACTCACGCCTACATAAATCTTTTTCTACTGTGCAAGGTCTATTCTTTAAATCATTTTTAATTTGACTGTTGCTTTTCTAATATCGACAATTTCTTTCCATAAATTCATTTGAATAGTTTGCTTTCACAATGCTAATTGCGCGACTGAACTAAATTCTGCGACACGAAATTCTTTATTCTATTCCAGTGTCAGTATGAATATCTCTGGAATCTATAACCGAGAATGCCATGCAGATTCTTTTTATGTGCTGAGCAGTTTTCAATTGGAAAATTTAATTGTTAGGGTTTTCCAATTTTTGGTGTCTCACCAGTAGAATTCCTCAAGGTTCGAGAGCGGGGCCAGTCTTATTTGTTAGTGATTTTTTTACCTTTACCACAAATTATTGCACCCATGCGGTCGCTTATGAATAAGAATAAGACAGTTGTGCGTTTTTACTCCCAGGATATTGGAATGACTGAAGTTCTACTAGACTAGAGCTTAAGAATTACGTCTTGAGCCGACTAAACACAGACATGATGGTAATTATAGCAGCATAAAATTAGTCCGGTGGTAGAATAACTGAACACTTATTTTTCTCAAATGCAATTTAGGTGGAAGAATTCACCTCGAAAAATTTGAGTACAACAGCAGCTTCGACAGGGAGTAGAAGTAAATCGCATACCTGATTAGGTTTACCACCTATAGCAGATTTTGGAGGTGTAATTCCAGGAGAGGAAGAATCATTTAATCGGTTTTCAATTTGGTGTTCCATGCTTTAGTTCTGGAGAATCTTTGCCGATGCGCAAACTATTTCACTCGCAATAAAAATCACTATCGTCACTGCGCGCAAATTTTTAACACAATACTTGTGCAGCGAAAGTAATATTATGTTCGCTCCGAAAGCTTCAAACAGGAAGTGAGCTTCTGTGACTGTAAATCAACCCTTATTAACCACGCCTAGCTTCATGTTGTAGGGGTGTGTAGAAATTTCAACCCCTATATTTTATCCAATAGAGAATTTTCATTCAAAAGAAAGTATACAGAATACTACCACCTCTACACTTTCAACCAATTACAACAAACAATCTAGAACTGTGTGTATTAGAGTAACTGTTTGAAAACCGCAGGAAAATTAATCATTTTAGTATTTCTTACGATAAAATATTGGGACTTCAAAAATGACGACGTGATTTCTTCGGTAGGTACTTTATTTTTTGCCAAATTTACATTTTAATTACTTTATAATCAAATATTGTTTAGGAACGGAAGTAAAAATTACGATCCATTAACACGTGTAATTAATGGAGGGAGGCCAATCTTTCGCAAGGGTACCAAAATGTAGTTAGAAGTATTTTAATTAATTACGTTTAAATTAAAGTTGGCACGTATACAATTTTGAATACTATGCTAATAAGGAGGGTATTTTTTGACTTAGGGGGTGTGACTATATAGATTTAATTCGAGCTATAATTGAAAGTCGCTTGAATAATGCATGTGTCTTCGTAGCAGTTATCACAGCATGATGGTCTCTTGGGATTAAGTTTACTATGTCGCCAGTATAGAATGGATCGTCAAATATCTAACGCTACAGTGCACTGATTTGCCAGATTTCACACATTCTGACCTGAAATAACGACAAACTTTTGTTTCCATCCAAAATTAACATTTTCCTCGTTTCTCTGACTTTTCTAACTACGTTTGCTTGATATTTATGTACCCTGGCGTAAAATGCATCATTTCCCCTAAGCCTCGGATTATTGAAGGAGTCGCTCTAAATTGATTAATTTTCAAACGCATAATTTGATTTTTTATTTCTATCGGAATGTACACTATAGAACTTACCAGGCACCTGTTGAAATTATATGCTCATCGCTAATTTGGACGAAGAAAAATTTGTGTGTGTCCAAGTGACAGTGCACTTATTTTTGTATGTTTTCCACTGCTTTGATCAATCTATTCGCTGCACTCAATTAGGCGAAAATCACGCTGTCAGTTTGTTTTTCTTAGTAAAATGTAGTTTCATTCATTGTGAATGTGTGGGTGCTTACATAATTAGCCATTTCCATATTTTGCAAGAAAAAATAACTTTTAATAATCTCTAAGCTAAACCATTATTGAATCTATTGTTGCGTCAAGCGGACGTTTTGTTTGGCTTCGGCGGTACCTGCAATAACGATGGAACACCCTGCTTATGGATTATAATTATTTTTAACGTTAAAATTTGGTTGCAATTTGAGATTGGACAAAAGGTTTGATCATATATTAGTTGAATGCGTGTATTACGTATATTACGTTTAGGAAGGGGCTGTTGTGTCTATCGTGCGTTTATCGTTTGGATGAAGCCTTTTCGAGTACCAGGGAGTTTTTCCATCATCAAAGAGCCAAATTTTACATCAGTAATTAATATGAACCCATGGAGATTAAAGTGCCATAATTAAAGTCGAGGAGTGAAGTTTCGAAGGATTTTCACCTGGTGTTTTCCGTATGTACGACTTCTGTTAATGAATTTGTTCTATCTATCGATTGCTTGTTACGTGGAATTTGTTTTTCTGGCCCTGATCGTCTATTTTTCTTTTAGCTAATTTGGTTGATTCATATAAAATAAATGTATTTCATCGTTTCATCTGTAAATGGTTAGTGTGTTTAATCGAGCCCAAATTACGACCTTTATAAGAGTGTTCATGTTATTTGTTTTTATTTCGCACCCATACTTACATCAGGTGTGAATTAAAAATTGGTTTATTAATTATTGGGAATGTTGGAGGCGGGCAGCATTTAAATAAACCTTATACTCTGCCTAATTTCCTAAGCTACTTTTAAAAAATGATAAACTGCGCATTTCAAACTTACCATATCTCAAATTTGATGAAAATCGGAACAATACTTTAGGAGATCGCGTTGGGAATGGCAAAAGAGCATTAATCGATTATTTTTGCAATTTCGCTTCATTTCAAATTTTACAAAGAAGTAAATCAAAACATTCAAGCAAAACAATAAAGGTTCTATACTTACATACATATAACGTTTTCCTGGTGGAAAATGAAAGGGAGCTAACCCAATACTATAAGTATAATCTTTTCTAGCACATTTAATGGTATGTTAATTCTGTGTATTTCCTGCATAACACAAAAATTATTGTTTAAGGCATAACGAATTTCTTAAAATTTGGATGAATACCGAAATAATCCTATTACCTTTGTTTATTCACTTATAATAAACAATGCTATTACTAAGGACAAGTGTTCCGAAAAGCTTGCGAGCAATAAGTATATTTCCGGTGCTGTCAAAGGTCTTAGAGAAAATGATGACTGACTAGTTAATAGAAGCAAGTCCAAGGCGGGTGGAAATCAGTTCTGCGGTGACTCATCTCCTCCTCCGCTCATTTCACCACAAGTTACTATCCATAATAAGTATTTCAGCATCCGTTACGGTTCACGCATAAAAATGCAAGGAGATAGGAAATTCAAGTTCAGAACATTCGAGAACGTTACAATTACGATGCGACCACCTCAGAGTTCGATGTTGCCTTTCTGACACTCAGTTCAAATTAAAATAGACAAGAACTCATAAATAATTGAACTCGTTCCCCAGGGCACTAGAGAAGTGCTTTGCATTCGGGAGGAAGCTCACCTTCACATTTGCAATCCATCAAAATTCACAAAGTCAATAGATCAAAAATCAAAATGTATCGCTGCCTACGGTGGTAAACTTACAGATCATTTGCTTTAGAGACTACCAGGATGGCAGCCAGGTAATAGAAAATTGTATCTACTCTGAGTTGGTGGGGTAATAACTAGGGGGAAACACTTAGAATTTTTTGTGTACACTCCTCTGAATTAATTTGAATTAACGTTAATTAATTTGAATTAATTCGAATTAACGTGAATTAATTTGAATTAATTCGAATTAACGTGAATTAATTTCAATGAGGGTGAATTAATTTGAATTTACGTGAATTAACGAGAATTAATGTGAATTAATTTGAATTAACGTGAATTAATTTGAATGAACCTGAATTAATTTGAATTAATGTGAATTAATTTGAATTAATTTGAATTTGAATGTTTGGTGTACACCAAAAATGGTACTTGTTCCCCTTAAGAAAAGTTTCATCAATTCATCAATTCCTGACAAAATTGCCCTTGTAAATCCCCAGAAAATTCGCTTCAGAAAAATTCACCCTTGGAATATTTCATCCCTAAAGGCTTGTTCCCGGAAAAGTTTCTCACTGGGAAAATTCCCCATGCAAAAATTCGCTTCCGGAAAATGTAAGCTTGAAAAAGTCGCCCTGGGGATATGCGAACCAGAAAATTTTTTCCTGGAATAATTGTATAACAATCTTTTGTCCTGGAAATTTAGCCTCGAAAAAATCGCCTTTGGAATATTTGACACATGTCTCGCCCTGGGAAAATTCCCTATGGAGAAATTCGTGTCCTAAACACGAAAAAATCGTTCTTGGAAAACTTCTCCCTGGAATGCTTGCGTAAAAAATTTGCCACCAGAAAATTTAGTCTCGAAAAAATTTCCGTTGGAATATTTAACCCACAAACACACGTCCTGAAAAAATTCGTTTCTCGAAAATACGTCGATTCCTGTAAAAAAAATCGCCCTTAGAAATTTCCTGAAAATTGCTTAGGAGAAATCGCTCTCATAAAAAAAGGCTCGTAAAAATCTACCTTCGCTAGAATACTTGCGTGAATAATTCGTTTCCAAAAAATTTGATGCGCTCTAAAAATCGCCCCTGGAATATTTGACCCCTAAAGACTTGTCCTCCGAAAAAACTATACAAGGCAAATTCGCTATGAAAAAATTGCCTTTTTAAAATGCTTCCCTGTAGGATTCAACCCGTAAATTCATACAGGGAATATTCGCCTCTACGAATTTTCCTCCCGTAATATTTGCGTGAAAATTTAACCCCCAACAATTTTCGGGAGGGTTCTTCCCGGAAAACTTCTTTCCTAAAAAATTCACCTATCTGGGAAAATTCGTTAGGGAAAAATTCGCTTCCGAAAACTCCCTATGGAAACTGTAGGCTCCAAAAATTGCCCTTGAAACATTCGTCCAGAAAAGCATCTACAGAAAATGAAAAAATTATCTTTCGAATATTTGGTCCCAAAAAAACCGTCCAGGGAAAATCTGTCTTGAAAAATTTGCGTTGGAAGTTTATGCCCTGAAATACTTGCGTAAAAAACTCGCTTCGGAAACTTGCGTGGAAAACTTTTGCTCCAGAAACGTAAAAAAATCGCACTTAAAATGGAAAAATTTTCGTCCTGAAAATTTAAGATTGATAAAATCGCTCTTAGATATACTTGTGTAAAACATTTGTCCCCAGAAAAAATCCGCCGTTGGAATATTTTACTCGCAAACTCTAGTCCTGGTAAAAATTTGCCTTGGAAAAATTCCACGTGGAAACAACTTTGAATGTTTGGTGTACACCCCTCTGTATTAATTTGAATTAACGTAAATTAATTTGAATTAACGTGAATTAATTTGAATTTACGTGAATTAATTTGAATAAACGTGAATTAATTTGAATTTGAATTTTTGGTGTACACCAAAAATGGTACTTGTTTCCCCCTAGGGTAATAATTACTATGTAAGACTCTGTTGCTCTCCTTGTTTCTGATGAACCACCTTTTGGCATCGGCATTATTGATTTTAACATTTTTTCTTGTAAATTTATGTTACGTATAGAGTGTGATACATTATTTTACTCTTGTCTCTTTCCGTAAAAATCCAATATGGCGCTGAAAAGATATAAGAAAGTAGTAGCCTGTAGCTTCTATATCTAGCGTGTTATGGAAATTCTGATAAAAAATTCAGATTTCCCAAAAAG